CAAAATGCAAAGAACAAGTAACTACAAGATGCAAATGTAAGGTACCCAGGTGGGTTAATTCACTAAGTTGAGAATTTTGTGGCCCTGATACAAGTATGTCAGGAACATGTCTCTGTTCCGTGGGACACATGAAATTTCTGTAAAGGAAGGATAAACACCTCTCCCACCTTCACTTCAATTCCTGAAAGATCGCTGGAAGTTAGCTATTACAAAGAACTACAACACAGCACATTTCCTTTCACATAATCCTGCATTCAATCTATTGCAACAAGAATTTATTTACTTATTAATACTACTTATGTATTTACTTAAATATTTAATATTAAATATTATTTAATTAACATTTGCTTATTAATACTACCTGCATGTATGCACCAAGTATTTATTTACTTATTAATACTACTGTAAAGCTGTAGTAGACAATTTCTGGGAGTCCCTACTCAAATGCCTAAAGCCTTATGCAAGCAAAATAGTTAACAAGACTGAAAGTTAATAAATGCAAATTTATATGATGCAGACAATAAATGCTACGGATTTTCACCATTTTCAAAAAGAAAGAAATTCACAAACACATAAGAAGGGTCCGTTTTGTCAAAGGAATAAGGAATGTTTCTTTGATCACGCAAGGCAATAAATACCCAAGTGGTTCAGTGCTTATATTTACTTCATTCTAGCTGCTAACCCAACAGGTGACCTTAGGGAAAGACATTCTCTAAATTTTAGTTCTCTCATCCATAAAAATACCAATCTGCCCAAAAGTAGCTGACAGAACAAATGAAAATAAGTACTACATTCAATATATTTACAAAGTTCGAGGGAAATGTTTATGGCAATGTTAAATGACAGTAACTTTAGAGGATACCTTTCCAGAAGTATCCTTAATGAATACACACATCAATGTTAACTAGGTATGTTTCAACCAAAAGCCACCATCTTTTAAAGAGAAAGCAATAAATCTAAATAATAAGCACTTATGATGCCCACATCCAATGAGTATAAAGCATTTCACAAATATCAATTAACTCTAACTGCCATGGCAAAGTTAAAAATTATACACATAGCATTTATACACATAAAACACAGTTCTATTTAATAACTACCCGAAAGTGTCATGCCAAACCAGCAACAAAGCTAAAGTAATCCAAAAAGCCTTCACTGCAGTTAACTATTAGGCTTATATTATAGTATCTTTCTTCATGAAGTACAGATTTCTCAAAACACTTGGCCTTCAGCAACTAGGATTCACTTTACAGCTTAATATCTTCAGCATAGGTTTTCCTTTATCTTTTCAGAACTCACTGCATACCATTAGTTTTATTTTAAATAGAGCAACATTTTAGGTAAAAACAAAACAATTACAGTCCTATTGTAGAAGACTTAAGAACAGTGGCAAAGAATTTCCATTTCAATTTAACTATTTCTCTTTTTCCAACATATATGATACGAAAACAGGTTACCTGTCATGATATATTCAAAACAGAGACTTAAAAGCAAATTAAAAAATCTCTCTTAGGACCACAGAAGACATGGCTAGCTCAGTTCAAAACCAACTGGGCCTTAAGTCTCTTTGGCAAAACAGTGTGTGACTCACTGCCGCAGAATTCAATGGAAAGAATTGGAAAATTCATTCTGATTGCCCTAAGATTTCGCCCAGAGTTTTTTAAAGATACATCCATACTAATGTTGTCAACTTCCATATAGTTTCTATCACTTGTTTAAGATGACAAGATGTGAATAAGGGGAGCCACATGTGAACAAAAAGTAAGGTCCTATTTTTTTCTGGGTACCTACGATATGAGCCATACGGCGTATATGCATGTTATCTATGTATGTGTATTATTGAGTACATAGGAGGGAAACATTTACATTGAAAAAAAAAATACAACGAAACATGGATGTTCTAGCTATAAAATGAAAAATTGTGATACTGATTTTTCCCTTCCAGAAACATCTCCAAATTTCTTATGTAGTAAAGTTATCTCATCTGGAAAATAGATACCAAATAATTCTACAAAAAAAAGAAAAAAGAAAAAAGAAATCTATCCCAATCTCATAAAAGTTTTATAAATACAGGATTATGAAGAATTTTAAAAATTGATCTCTAAATTAAGCTAAAGATCCTATCACATGTATCAAAAACATTCATATATTCATAGATATATATTTGGAGCTACAGCTCTCTTATTTAAGTTAAATTATTTTACGCTCTTGAGTAATTAATAGTCTACTGAAAAATCACCACTCTTAGTGCGCTTTTATACCTTAAAATACTAGGATGGGAATATGTCACATAACATAGTGAATTACCATCCTTAACCTTACCCATCCTTCACCATATGAATCCTTCTACCTTCTAATCACATTAAAAATAACAAAAGTGTAAAAATATATCATACAGTCTTAAGGCTCATCAAAATCATATTTACCACATGAATGTGACATTCTTTGAAGATGTCTATTCACATGAATGCCCAATGCAAGATGTTAAAGTGACCTACCCTCTCTTATGGTAGTACCTTACAAAAGGTCCCTTTCAAGGGACAACACAAGAAGAAAGCCTTTATAAATACGCTTTAACACAAATTATCTTATCCCTTTTTACTCAGTGATGTTATTTGAAAAATCATAGATTTAATGTTTCAGTGCAAACTAAAGTAAAAGAAGACATATACAGTATTCTCATTTAGATTTTTGCCGTATTTTCTACCACTATTTCTCACCAAATATTTCTGGCATTCATTAACTTACACTTACTTTACTAAAAGAATAAAAAACATTAACAAGGGTTGTATGTGTGTGTGTATACACACAAATACAGAGAGACAATAAGTGTCTGCTTAAGAGTAGGGGCATTGCTTTTTACCCCAATCGTTCAACACTCACCTTGCAAAAATGGTCAAAACTAAAAACAACAGATTTTAAGATTTACCACAGAGAAATGCCTTTGTTGTAGCACCAATTAGTATCAAATAACCTTACAAAACATAAGCAAGAGAAAAATGCTATGAAAGGGCAATCTAGCATTTCACAGCTTCTGCTCTTACTCCACCCAGTCTCCTCAGCTCAATGGCTGTTCACAGCATCCACAAATATTAGTCCATTTTTAAAAGGGGAGGGAGTGGGTACCAAAACAGGGCAATCTTTCTCAAAATTAATACACACAGAAATATTTTGTGAGAAATTGTGTTCCTTCCTTTGATTTATAAAAAATAACAGGTTCAGATTTGTTTTCAGAGATCCTCCCCTTCTGAACAGTTCAAACAATGATCATTTATAATAGAACAAGAATAAATCACCCTAAATACAGATTACACTTCTGCTTTAATAAAAACTGCAATTTGCAATTGCCAGTTATTTTGCAAAATTGTGTCCTGAAAGATACCCATGAGAGATTAAAAGCTAGCTAATATCTTGGAACCAAATCAGAATTTTTTAAGTAAAAGCTTTTTATACAGTCAATATTATATCACTGCCGACATAACCCAGGCAGGAAATTTTCTTGAATAAGAGGCTGAACCCTGCAGCAATCAAGCCCTGCTGCAGAAAAGAGGAAAAAAAAAAAAAAAAAAGGATAAAAAGAAAGAAGAAAAAAATTTTAAGTAAATACTACTGAGGCAAAAGGAGATGGATGACATTACTGGTATTAAAGGCCCAAGCTCTGTCTCCTCCGCCCTACACTCAAAATGAAATTCACACAAAACAACCCACCTACCAACAAAAATAGAATTTCCAAAAATGGCCCAAATTTGTTTACCCTTTAAAACGTTATGAATGTCGAGGGCTACGTGTTAAAGTAGAGGTCAGAACAACAGTAATATCTTTATTCTCTCCCGATTGCCTCTTAAGGAAAGGGGGGGGGGGGGGGGGGGACCTTGGCATGACATCGCCCATTGAGAATGAAACCACAAATCTGGTTCTTCTCTTCAAAAGTACAAATTCTTAACCAAAGGATTGATGTAATCTGGACTCAAACCCCAACCCCAAAAGAAAATCTCCTGCCCTCCTCCCAGGGAGTTTCTTGCTAAGTCACTGAAGAAAAGCAGAAAAACAAATAAAGCCAAGGCACCCTGCTCTCTCTTATCTAAGACACTGAAAACCTCTTTCTCTTCTCTAATGTTGAGAGAGAGAGTTAAAATCTGCCCACCACCTCAAAGACATTCTCTATTTTCTCAGCTGGGAGACTAAAGAAGACACTGCGTTTCCTAAAGGAGTGGGGAGATAGATGAAGGGGAATGGCTGAGGGCCTCGAAGCTGTGTTACAACGTCAAAAGGCAACTCCCGTTTCAGGAGCCAGTGGCAGAAAAGAAAATCCTGCCTGATTTGGTGGGTGGACGCTGCGGATGGTTCGGTGGGTCGGCCGCTCCTCTTTAGTGGATGTAGAGCCTGGACCACCGCACAGAGGGACCAGAGAAGGGCTGGGCCAGCCTCCTTAGGTCAATCCCATCCTAAGGACAGGTGGGGGACGGAACGCCTGAAGGCCTATGGGTGCCGAGGCCGCGCGGGGCTGAGCCCGGTCCCCAAGCCGCCAACCACGGGTGGGGTGGGGACTGCGGTGCTCGCCTTCCGCGGCCAGGGAGAGGAGGGCCGAACCCTTTCCCCAAGATCAGAGAGCGACCTGCTCTCCACGCCCTTCCTACCCAAGAATACTTTTCTTGCTAAGTCACTGAGGGAGGAGGGCGATCTCCTCCCGGGGAGGGCCGCGGGTGGAGTCGGGGCAGCCCCGGCACCCCCCGAACCCGGGCCGGGGAGGAGGGGAGCGAGGACAGCGCCCTCCCCGGCCTGTCCCCCCTCCTCCCGTGTCTCTCACTCAACGGCCGTCGCGGCCGCCATTTTGAGAGCGAGGAGAGGAGAAGAAGAAGGAGGAGGCGGCGGCAGGGGGAGGGGAGAATGGGAGGGAGGGGACCGGCGCAGCCACCTCGTCAGGCCGCCCGGCCCGGCCCGCAGCAGCCCGAGCGCGGAGGAGAAGACAGAGGGGAGAGCGCAGACCCTCGCCGCCTTACCGGAGCGCTGCACCGCCGCCTCCGCAGGGCCTCTTCCGTCCTTCACTCCCATCCACCGGCGGGGGAGGGGGAGAGGGAGAGGGAAGGGAGGAAGGAGGGAGGGAGGGAAGGAGGGAGGGGGAGGATGGCGCGCTGGGCCCGGTCCCGGGGAGGGGGAGGGGAGGGGAGCGGGCGGGCTCCTCAGCCGTTCCGGGGCTCGAGCCCAAGCCTGGCGCTCGCGGTCCCTCTCGCTCGCGCCCGAGCGCTCCTCCTTCTCTTTCTCGCTTCTTGAGCCCCGGGATCGCTGCTCGTTCGCTCGCTCACTCGCTATCTCAGCCGCCGGACTCCGCCGCCGCCCCGCCGCTCCAGCTCCGTCTGTCACAGGAGCTGCCCCAACGCCCTGACGTCACCGCGCCGCCGCCGCCGCCGCCCCAGACCCGCCGGGATGAGGGAGGGAGGGGGGCCGGGAGAGGAGAGGAGCTGCGGCGCATGCGCAGGCCTGGGCCGAGCCCTGAGCCGCGCTGCCTTCCGCTTAGCGGGCGCGCTGGCTCTGCGGTTTGGCGGTACCGAGTGGCGGGAGGGCTAGCTTGCTCCCCTTCTCGCGCTCTGCTTGCCTCTGGAACCTTGGTCTCCCATTACCTAGACCCTCGTTTGCCTATTCAGGCATCTCATGAACTCCGGCTCTGTTCACCTCCCCGCCCTGCTCTTGTCCACAAACGGAGCTCTCCCCGCTTCTCCCGGCCAACAGCGGGGACCCGTTGGTACCCATGGATTCCGGGCCCCGATAGGTTTCAGAATAAAGTGGAGCCCCGGCCAGGCTGAGGCCCCTTCTACCTCCGGCCTTCGGATTTATTTCCCAGTTTGGTGGGGGCAAAGAGGAGGGAAGTAGGTTGGGTTGGCTTGGAGACAAGAGCTGTCGAGGGTAAAAGGCTGATGGGATGGAATGCCTAATTGTCTCTCTCTCTCTCTTTTTTTTTTTTTTTTTTTTTTTTTTTTTTTTTTTTTTTTTTTTTTTTTTTTATAGATTTTTAATTGGGAGGATTCGCTTTTAGCAGTGATTCAGCTATTCTTTTCCTTAGTCACACACACATTTGAGATGCTTGAAGTCTGGAAACTGACGCCCAAAGAAAGACCTGGAACTTTATCCTCACAAGGTGTTCGCGCGCGCGCGCCTGTGTGTGCGCGCCCGCTTGCTAAATTATGAGTTGATCTACTGATGACAAAGAAGTCTTGGGGATTTGTAGTCTCTTTATTCCGCACCGGGATATTTGATTTAAAACAGGCCAGATTTGAGGTTCTGAATCTTTCAATATGGAATATACTCTTAATAAGAGGTATCTGGTGTGATTATCTAATTATTAATTTATATTGTACAAGGAAACTCTTTTCCTAAAACATAGGTTTAAGCTTACGTTTACTGATTTTATTACTTCCCATTATGTAGGTAAATGTAAACGCTGCCTTTGAGAGGCAGCTGAGTTAATGAAAGAGATAACTTGGGTGTATGTATCTTGGATCAGCCACTTAGCAGAAGTGTGACCTTGACTAAATTACTCTCTGGCCTGAGTTTCTCTATAAAACAGACCTAATAAATAGCTAATTCATAAGGCTTCTGTGAGAAATGGAGAGGTGACGCTGCATGTGTAAGATATTGCCGTGGTGAGGAACGTAAGTATCTCATGTCACCATTACTGTTGCTTGATACCAAAGCAAAGTTTCCTTTTGTAAAGAAAGGTTGTCTCTATCCTTGAGGTGTTCAGGAAGAGCATGAGTGGGGTTGGTTGCCTGGAGGGTTTGGGTTTTTCTTCTTCATGAAGCCAGGGAGGGATATCAAAGGGTCTCTGGAAGGTCTTTTCCAGGTTTACAGCTTTGGAATTCTCAAATTGGACAAGGACAGCAAGAGGAGGCACAGGGGTTTGGTTTGTGCTATGTCCAGTAACAGTCAGTAAACATGAAATAGATTAACCTCTCTTGTTCGAAGAATCCACTTTTGGTTCATTTTTACCTTTTAAAATATTTATTATTGTGTGATATCACACTGCTTAATATTTAATCAGCTGAGTAAATCAGTTATTTTTAAAATGAATATTTCAAAAGCCAACAAAATTGCCCAGAAATCAGAATCACATTGATAAACACTGATTTAATACAAATAGGTAGTACTAACTGCTATAAACCTTGAGCTCATAGACTCCTGTATTTAGAATCTTTAAAATCTGTTATTATGTAATTACACACTAAATTGAGATCAAGTTTTATTTCTGTAGCAATCCTTTAAAATACAGACTCCCTTGGGAGGAATGTATAAAAACTTTTCTTGAGTTATAATTTTTCCAAACAGAAATAAAACCGTGTTATGTGCTTAACTTGATGTGGAGTGATGTGTTATGGTTCTATGCACTTTCTTTTCAGTTGCTGAAATGATAGATCCGTCTTAATAAACACTTGTCTTTTGAGAATGGAGAATTAGGATATCTATGCTATCAATCATAATCCATGAAGACTTATATAGAACCTGCTACATCCATCCAGGAAACTTTTAATAATGAATTTTTTGGATGATGTTTCTTGAAAAAAAAATTTAAGTATAAACATCCATTTTACTTACCACAATGTAACAACCTCCCCATTCATTTGAATTGCAGATCTTTATTTTTTCCAGCATTTTCAAAATGGAAACATTTGTTTCAATTGCTACAGTAAAATTAGTGTTAGTTTAAACAATTCTGCAAATAAGCTGACTGGAAGAACCACTCCAAAAATACTGCTATTGGGAAAAGGACAAAATGTCTTCTAAAATCTGTTCACAATGAGCATAATTTTTTTCTTTTTAAAATATTACTTTTTAATTTTATTTTAATTCCAGCATAGTTAATATACAGTGTTATATTAGTTTTAGGTGTGACAATCACCACACACGTTAAAACTTTATTTTGAGAATTAAAGTGTCCTCTGTTTATAGGCAAATGCACATTGCTATATGTTCATATTTGATAGGAAGCAATTAGCAAATGGTGACAAGAGTGCTTTCAGGTATATAAGTTATGTGAATCAAAGCCCCATTTGAAAGAGAACCATGACCCAACTGGCAAGAGACGCACTGTAGGAGATTTTAGCTGATTAATTTGTGTACCTGCATTTCCCCAAAGCATGGACATGTCAATGAGGGCAAGTCCCACTAAACCAGTCATTCTTCATCTCAGCATCATGACATCCTCATGTGTCATGAATGCTGGGAGGCCATAGAAACAAAGACTATTAAAAAAGGTGAAACTCTCAACCTGGACGTAGAAAACATGTTTAGAAGCAGCACTTCGTAATCTGAAACCTTTTAAAATTTAGATAGAAAAATAATTTGCAAAATGTTAACATAAAGAAACAATACAGGGCACCTAGGTGCCGCAGTCAGTTAGGCATCTGACTCTTGATTTTGGCTCAGGTCATGGTCTCATGGTTCAAGAGATTGAGCCCCGCACCAGGGCTCAATCAGTGCAGAGTCTGCTTGGGATTCTCTGTCTCCCTCACTCTCCGCTCCTCCCCAGCTTGCGCTCGCTCACTCTCTCTCTCGAAATAAATAAACAAAAAAGAAAAGAAAAAATACAAAAGGACATACCAGATTTATTCTAGATGTCACTACAATAGACCATGAGAAAAGTAAAACAGGCCAGCTTCCCCTTTATGTCTGTTTGTAAACCTAGTAGAGTAAAAAGATTCTCACCAAGAGGACTCAAAGAAGGCTTTATGATGGAGGTGATTTAAAGCAGGCCTTAAAAAAGGCTAGAATTATAATTCATTCAGCAAATATTTATTGAGTGCCTTCTATGTACCAGACACAATGACCAGGACAAACAATCCCTGAGATCATGGAGTTTGTATTCTGGTAAAAGACACAGAAAAAAGGTGACAAAGCTCTGAGAGCAATAAAAGTATTGAGATGGTTAAAATATGAATGACTATATTAGTGAGGGTGGTAAGGGAAAACATTTCTGAGGAATGAATGACATTTAAGCTAAGATTTGGGTAGCCAAGGGACTCCAGATTAAGGAATAACTGCAAAGGCCCTGAGGCAGGAAAATGCTTGCTGTGTCCCAGGAAATGAAAGAAGGTCCAGGCAGACAGAGTGAAATGGTGAGGAGGAAGGCAGCTTCTAGACTACACTGGTCTAGGGGACACCATTCGCATTTTATTCTCTGAATAGCCCAGAAGAGGAAAGAAGTAGACAAGATCAGAAAGACAAGTAGGAATCAGACCAGGACCTTGAGAACACAGGAGAGAACTTGGATTTCATTTTTGTAGCTGTGGATAAAGACAAAAAACAAACACATTTTGACCCTGACTTTTGATTTCAAAGACTTAAAAAAAAATTATGTTGGGGCACCTGGGTGGCTCGTTGGTTAAGCATCTGACTCTTGTTTTCAGGTCAGGTCATGATCTCACAGTTTGTGAAATCGAGCACCATGTGGGGCTCTGTGCTGACAGCATGGAACCTGCTTGGGATTCTATCTCTCTCTCTGCCCCCCCCCC